CCCCAAAACCCCAAAACCCCAAAACCCCATGAGTGTTAATAAGTTAAAATAAATTAAATTAACTGAAATCATTTGAATTTGAATAAAATGAAAAGTAAGAACATTGATAAAATCTAAGATTACTTACATAATTAGATTATACTTAGATCTACATTTGGGGAGATAATTAAAAGGGACAGCTTGGAATATAAAGTGAGCAGTAGGAAATTCAATAAATTAAAAGCTACAGCTTTGATGTTTAAATAACATAAGTTTCATGTGGAATGGATCATACTGGTTTCATAACAAGTAATTCAAATTTTGATCATATATAAATTTTATATAGGTGAAGGGCTTTTATTCGTAATGGGATCAAATAAGTATGGCAAATTAGGAGTTGGGAATTCTTATTAAATAACATAATAAATTAAGAGTCCAATGCTGATCAGTTCTTTAGCCAGTGTATAAATTAAAGATATAAGTTTTAACGAAAATCATTCTATGGCTCTTTCAACAAACAATTAAGTTTATAGCTGGGGTTTTAATCTTGATGGAGCATTGGGAATTTAATTTGATGGTGAGTACTCATCTACACCTCTATAAATAAATTCAAGTTTGATACAAGGGAATATAGAAAAAATATGCACAGGGAAATATAATTCTGGAATAATCTCAGAATATTGCACTCTAGTATCAGGTAGAAATGATGATGGATGTTTAGGACTTCACTAGCAATCCTTAATTATTCATGTGTTTAGCTAAATTAAAATCTAAGATGAAACAATAAAAGACATATCTTTTGGTAATAAGTTTCATACTTTGATTTTAACATCAAATCAAAAAGTATATGGTGTAGGGAACAACTAGAAGTTTTAACTTGGCACAGGAAATAATTAACCTGTCAAATAGCCTAAGGAAATATAGTATTTAAGAGACAAAAAAATAAAAGAAGTGAAAGCAGGAGATTACTCGATGTCAATTGATGAAAATGGATAGGTCTATGTTTGGGGAATTGGGAATATATTGATTCCAAATCCTCTGTTCAAGAAAAAGATTAATGTTGATCAGATTGAACTTTCTTAAGGTTATATTTGGATGCTTTTAGATGACTAGAAACTGTTTAATGCTAAAGTTAAAGATCTAATCTACAATGACAAAAATAAAAAACTTATTTAAGAAAATGTTGTCAGATTTTCAGTCGGTAAAGATTATTTAGTGGCTCTTGGAGTTGATTTAGAAAGCACCAAAAACTCTATTGTCAAATGCAATCAGTCATAAGCTTCAGTAACTGATTATTCCTTAGCTGGATCAAGTAATAATAAAAAGTAAAATTTAAACTAATCAACATTAAGCATAATAAATAGCCCAGCTTTAACGTAGGAACATTCTTTTAATGAAATTAACTAATCACCTAGATCTATAAATAATCCAGCGAGATCAATTTCCCCGCTCATAAATAATTAGCAATCTAAATTTTTGGGAAATGAAAAGCTACAATAACCATTTAACTTTGAGTATAAAGACTACTATTCATAATAGAACATACCAAAGCCCTACTCTTACCAATTTGATGATAAAGAAAATTTATATAGAAATCAGGATAATAGATATAACTCTGTTTCACCTATAAGGCCAATAAATAAAACACCAGAGTCTAATTATTTCAAAGATAAGGAAAGATTGCTCAAAGAATAAATAACATCTCAGGAGATTTAGATATCTTTCCTTAAAGAAAAGTTAGCTCGATAGGAAGTGCAGTTCGAAAATGAAAGAAGAGATTTGCAAAGAAAAGTGTAGGGAGCAGACCAGAAACTCCAGTTGAAAGAACAGCATGTGGAAAACTAAGAAGTCAAATTATTAGAATTAAGAGAATAAGTTTAGATGGTCTAAGAGCATTATTAAAATATGCAGGATATTATGAAGAGAGATCAAAATGAAAAAGAGAAGTACAAAGAGGAGTTTATTAAATACAAAAAAGACAATAAAATACTGAAGGAGCAAAACATGCTATTAAATGACAAGATAATGCTGATGGAGCAATAAATACAAGAACTTGCCCAAGAAAATATACAGTTGAGTCAACTTAAGGAAGTTCATTAAGAATACACAAAGCTAGATAATTATGCCTAAGAGATTAATCAGCTAAATGAACAAGCAAAGGATGTAATTTGCTAACAAGAGCAAGAAATTAGTAGCCTAAATGAAAAGTTAAATTAAATGTAATTGATGGTTGATGATTCCTAAGCCAAAAGAGACTCTCAGAAGTAAATCATCAAAAATCTAAAGGACACAAATATGATCATCAACTAGACACTAATAAAATATAAATACAAGATAAAGAATCTGAAGGAGCAAAAGCAAATATTTTAGCATAATGAGTATAATTCAAAATCAAAGTCGCCTCAAATTAGGTCAAAGTAAATGATTTTCAATAATTAAAAACATTTGGTTAAATTATTCGAGGAGTGCATGGATAAAAATAACAAGGAAAACACACATGCAAACCTATTTGATATTTCATCTCAAGATCGTAGTAAAGATAGAATACATGTTCAGTTGACAAGAAATAACAATAATCTGAGTAACTTGTTGACATCAGATGATCATTCAAATCAGACCTAGGACACAAACAACAATAATCGATAGGAAAAGTCAACTAATCAAAATAACCACAACTTATCTTAAAACATCATATTTGTGTAGACAGATGATCTTCAGCAAGTAAAGCAAAATAAAAGTGCCTAAAAGAGCGCTCGATCAGAAATGGAATCAACATTTAACTCGGTAAGATAATTTTAGCTTAACTTTATAGCCAATAAATTCAAGGAAGATGCTCAAGCAAAAAATATTAGATTATTAGGCAAAACTAAACAGACTCTTAAGATGAAAAATATACTTTTAATTATTATTTGATTTCATAATTGATTAGCAAGTTTTGATTGATGGGGTTTTGGGGTTTTGGGGAGATCGGAAGAGC